TTCTTTGGGTGGGGGGAAGGGCAGCTAATCCATAGGGTACATGGTCCGTGAAACGTTGTCGCTCGTCGTATCACAGTCCATGTTACCTTGAGGGTGATGCCTGCATCGTCGGACTCGTAATCCCTGTGCTTACTTTGAATATGTTCTTGCAACTTGTCTTTCGGCACCTGTGTAGCAGCGCTGTGTTGAAAATTCGCTTGCGCGCTTTTCCGTGGATAATTGTTCGAGTGCATCGCGGTTGAAGACATTTCGGGAGTATTGTGTTCTACGAAATATCGGCGAACTTGTGATGTAAGGAAACGCAGAGAATGTGCGGGAAAATGCAATTAAATTATCATTTGTTCTCGAAGTTGTTGGCACTTCACGTCTATTTATTTGATGTACATTTCATTTGGCCGTTACTGGTGGAACTGTGACCGTCCGCTAAGTGGTGTTGCATTTGAAAGCCCATCTCCGAAGTGCCAGTACCCGGCTACCCCGAGTTCAAATTCCTGGTTCAACTAGAGTGCGTAATGATTTCTTAGCTTGTGATGTTATACTCTAATATACCTTGAGTCCATCGTAGATTCCATTCTTTCACACTAAGTTTCAATGTCGTAGGAAAGCATGTCGGGTTACAAACGAAGTCAGTTGAGAGGCTCTTGAACCTATTTTGAAAGAAGTACATTTAGTCTGAGACAAGTTCTCCCTGGGATAGTTGAGCACATGACAGGAAATCTAGTTTTCGTTGCACAGATAGCCTCTCGGTGTAAAAAGTAATTTTCAGACTGCCTCTGTGCTTGTTAAATTCCTGTTCGATAAAAAATCCGAATGAAGTCACATTACTGTACATAGATTCATTCCTGGAACATGGACAGGTACATTTCTAGCTGTCCCCGCTTGGCGAAGAAGTTTTTCGCGAATCTTTCGAACGCTGCTATTTCTTTCCATGCGTCCGAACTAGTCTCCGGTGTTCTGGGATTGTACTTGTATAAGCCTGCAGTTGAGACGGCTTTCGGTCGAGTGATGGGGGCCCAAAAGCGGTGCCCAGGTTGCTCGCTGTATCTTCTACTGCACTTCACCAACTTCGTGTTGAACCCTGATCCGCCCATGACACCTACGAAGCGAATATTTTCAGAATGATTAAAGAATTTGAGTAAAAGTCGCCCTACTCGGCTTCATCTCGTGAGTTCCGAAGCAGCACTTCGTCTCGAAAACTGCTTGTGAGCAGACTTAGATCTCTCTGGAGTACCGGTTTTATTTTACTGTTACGGAACTTCATTGACTGCATTTGAGGTGTAGTAATTTCATGGGACACTCTCGAGAAAGGTCGGCAGAATAGTATAGATTTTCTACAGCGTTTTCACCTCCGTTGACCACACAGTATTGTACAGAGAACATTTTATGGCAGGAATAAAAATACATTCGGAGTACTGTACATGAAATAGTAAATGTAATACCTGTATCCATCTCTAGTAGGGCGTGCAATTGATGTATACTCTCACTATGGTTATTGCGGAGCAGACAAAAATAGTTGATCGAGCTTTTCATTAGAATAATTTGCAACAACTAATCACGGGAAGTTGGTGTACAAGTATTGTGCTGTACAGTACTGTGATGCAGCAATAGAAAGTCACTTCGACTCACTCAAGCAAAGATACGGTGCTGATGTTTCTGCGAAATGTATATTATTTTTAATTCATCAAGAAAATATTTAGTCATAATTGGAGTAAAGTGAAAATGAATCAATCTATACTCATGATTCTACGTACATATTATGATATACCGGTAGTTTCCAGAGTGTAGATTGTTTGCTGATGTACAATGCAGCAATCCACCAACAACTTGTGGTCATGTCATCCAATTTTACTAAGTCATATACAGTACCTGTGCCGTAAATGTATACACTCACCCAAGGTTGTCAGGGCGTGCATTTCTAAGGCCTTCTGAGTGCTCAACTTGACAAGCTTGTTGCGGGTCTCGCGGTGTGTCCGCCGCAGATTTCTGTCCAACGCCATCAGCTTGTCTTTCAGCTCTTTCAATTGCGACTCAAACCCCGCTGCAGGTTCTGCTGCAGCACTTGTTGCGCGTCGCACCAGTCTTCTACTGCGGAACATCCCGTCCAACTGCTCTCGCCAAATTCATGCAGAATCAACAACATGCTTTATCTATATACAATTGATCTATTTTATCAATTTTCCTATAGTCAAAGCCTCCCTTATTTGAATTTCCAGTGAAATATCGGGGCTTGGGCAAGACCAATGCATTTTAAAAGCCTCCCTGTATAGCTCGAACTTGTTCATCTTCAAAAGTCAAATTATTTATGACCACTGTTTTATTGAACTGGAGGTACATTTTAGACCACCTGTTTCGGGATACTGTATAGGTGAAAATTACTACTGTATCTTGAAGCTTTTCACACACAAAATTTGGCTAATTACCGCGGTTTGGACATTTTAGATTTATTATAATGACGAACAATTCTAAGTATCAGGCCAGAAGATTGATTTCCTTAAGAAACCTATACACGATTCAGCCCACATTATCTAGGTGAAGAAAGCCCTCAAACATCGTAGAAGTCTTTCAAATTGACTTGCATGATTTACAAATTCTTTTGAGTGCCTCATACCTGGAAAACTTACTTGCAAGTGCAGTATTTTCAATAAGGTGGGTTGACAAATTTATATAGGACTAATTTACAAAAAAATATAATTCCATAAATTGATCAAAGGATTCAAGCCAAGTTGAATCGCGTTCAAGTATGAGAATACGTCCGTAATCAGCATATCTTTATTTTTTACATTTCACGCTATGTTTTTCTACATGGCGCCCATTTCCAGAAGAAGAAGAAACCTCATCATCCGACCAGCAATTCGGACTTCGATCATTTTAAGCTCACGCTGTTTTGGACATCGCGCTCAACTCATGATCGAAGTTTTAAATTCACACTTACCTTGAGAGCAGCGGAGATTTTCCGTTGCTGGAGTTGGACCATCTGACGAAGACCATCTCGCTGTGCTGCGTGTTCTGCCCTCTCGTAGCGATTAGAGATGTCTGCAAAGCGTTTCTGGTCCTGCTTATACAGTAAAGGAAGAAGAATTCAAAACTAATTCATGCAAAAAATCCGAAATCTCGTAAATGTGCAAGATGTATATTATAGAAGTCACAGCAGCGAGCAGACGAGAATATAAACCTGTCCGCTTCGCCTGTCTCGGTGATACTTCGGTACATGCTTGGAGGCTATCAGGTCCCAAATCAGCTTCTGGCGAACGTCGGGGTTCATGCTAGGTTTTCTGGGTCGGGGATCCCCGAGACAGACACCTGAGGATGCATGGAAAAAAAGGGAAAGGAAATGGATGTCTTGAGTAAGAGCCAACAGTTGGGTGTTTTGCTCCTCATTTTAGGGTGTGAGCCAGCACAGCAGAGCTCTGTGCCTTGAGCCCTTCTTTGTGGGGAGGGGAGAGAGAGGAGAGAAGAATATACAGACAGAGAGCCCTCTTTTTTATCATGGGAGAGCCACAGCAGCAAAACTCTGTGACTTGAGCCCTGGTTTTTGGGGAGGGAAGGGTAGGGAGTGAGCTGATTCAGCTCATTTTTATCATGGGAGCCACAGCAGAGCTCTGTGACTTGAGCATTAAAATAAAGCTGAACTGAAGAGGAGAGAAAGACAGATACCTTGTATGCATCATGGCAGCTGGTGTCTGTTTATTCTTGCATCTATATATACAGTAGTATAGGCCTGGGGGATCCACTATTCCAGGACACAAAAATACATCATGCAGTACACCAGGGCTTTTCAATTGCTTTTTGTATACATATGGGGCATTTTCCAGGTGTTCCGCAGAATTTTCTATGAGGAAAAGAGGAATATAATCTCACCAAGAACAATAGAAGGGCTTTAAATTTGATGCATTCAGCACTAAAATAGAGTAAGGATCATGCTGCATCAATATATTTTTCAAAAATGGTAAATAAAAGCTGCGAGAGGCATATGAAGATCATTGGAGACAAGCAAAAATTAAATTTTTAATCTTAACATAATTATTCTTCATCTGTAGAAAAATGAGGCCTCTGTCTGTGAAGAAAATAACGCCCAGAAGAATTTCTCATAATGTCTAGATAAGCTGTTTGGAGCATCAGAAAGAGTTCGAAATTTTGTTTTCAATTCCAAGGAGTTTTGCGCATTTTCCCCAAGATCAGACTCATCAAATTGCTTCCGGGTTCCTAAAGCATTTTTTTAACCACATTCTCTGCAGCTGCCACACTATTTGAATCATTATAGTATCTGTTTTATGCGTGCTTCTTGCAAGGAAGATTATGCTGGCATAATTATCACCAATAAAAAAAATTCTCAAAACCCACCTGGCGGTATTGGCAAGATGTGGATTGAGCTTTATTTTTTATGGGATACAAGTATTTCAATTTTTCTGTTCATCAATTTCATGTGGAGATGAGAGACCACCCAGATAACCATGCAAAATGGACACATGTCCTACTTCCGGTCTAAAATTATTCATTGAGCCCCCGAGCGATTCAAAATCAATCATGCTGCACATCTTTATTTATTAATTGTATCTTATTTTCTTCAGGTCAAGAGTAGCTGCGCTGAAAATGCTCCAACAATTTTTTTCTCTCACCAATAGTGACTTGTCATCAGGGCATATTCCTGAGGCTTTTGAAGGACCTTTTCATTTCTGAACTATAGACCAGCAGAAAAGGAAGTGAAGGAAACAAGGGAAAATATTGTTGGCTCAGTTCAGTATGTGTTTATACGCTGAAAGCACAAATTCCAGGCATTACTTCATATTTTCAGAATATGGAGATTATACCCCTCATAATTCAGACACAATTTATTCACATCATGATTTAGTTATTGTATTTTAGACATTTAGCCATTATTACAGCCAAAAATGTTGCATTTCAGCCAATGGTCACTCAAAAAACATGGCACAGTACTGTATTGTCAGAAAATACATTTAATGCATTTTTACTGGCTAGGGTTTGCCTTTAGAGAGTTATACTGATTAATATAATGCACAAGTAAGCTCTGCTTGTGGTGTAAAAAAATTCAAACCTGAGAAAGTATTTCTTCCACTGGAGTCCAGATCCAAACCATTGAGGGTAAGTGACTGCAGGGATGCATCAATTGCTGATGACTTGATGATTGCTGCAACCCACTCTTCTCTGGCCTCTTTGCTTTCAGCTGACAGGTGGATTGCTTTTTTGCCCATCTGCACACATGATACAGTGCAAAAAGGCCAATAAATCATACAGTAATGAAAAAACAGATGCAAAATATCGAATAGAAAATTTGTAATTCAGAGTAATTTAATTAAACTGTAGCATTAATCAAGTCAAACTTCTTTCCACAGTTTTTGAGGGATTTTTTGAAAATTATTGCTAGAAAAACCACTTTATTGTTCTGCATCTTCTTGACAAGTCAAAGCAAATGAATTGAACAATTTTTTGAGCTTAAATTTAGCTGTTTTCAGGGTTCTTTTGGCTTTTGAAGTATTACTTATTGAAATGGAACCACAATTTGCTATGCCATCCATCATTCTTCTTAAATATGATTTTTGGGGTGTCACACAAAAAACAAAAAACAACTCTGTATCTCAATACAGAGTAGTTTTCCTTTTGTTTTTTTTTTATCTCAATGCAGAGTTTTTTTTTCTTTTGTTTTTTGTTGTTGTTGTTGTGTGACACCCAAAAAATCATATTTAAGAAAAATGATGGATGGCATAGCAAATTCTGGTTCCATTTCAATAAGTACAGTAATAATTCAAAAGCCAAAAAGAACCCTGAAAACAGCTAAATTTAAGCTCAAAAAATTGTATGATTTTCACAAGTCAAAGCTCCAATGAATGTAAGTCTTTTTAGCTGATATACAATACTCCAGTTTATAAAATACTATGGTTTTCTTTGAAATATGTAGCCCACAACCCATATACAGCATATTTTAAATGGAGGTGTCAAAAATGATGACTGCCATTGGAAGACTACTGAACTTATGGTCATTCAGAATGATTTTCAAAATTCAAAAAATGTATTTCAAAATTTGTTGCCTATGATTTAGTTTTCATTTTTTTTTAAAGAGGACATTTTCTTGGAGCCACTCCATGCATATGGGGGAGGGAAACGCAACCTTTCTCCGTTTTGGAAAACTACCTGGTCTTTCAGGATGAGGACATTCAATGAGGAGATGCCTCCAGGCGCAGAACAGGGTTCCCTGGTGCCCAGGTCTAGGGATAGACGATTTCTTGTAGAGCCCTGCATTCGTCTACACTGTGGAACTAAACAGTAGTTGGCGAGATCCAGGATCTCCTCGGGTACTGCATCATCTTCCATGTTGTAGAACAGGAGTTGCCCCTGGTGCAACACTGCCCAAGCCCTGGGGGTTCAAAAGGGTAATAGATACAGGTTCTTAATTTTTGGGGGGTTATTATTGTCCATCAGCAGGACAATAGGTTTTCACTGGTCAAAAATATCAACATTTATTGGGTCCTCCCTGAGTCCAGGTCAGAGAGAGACCCAAAATGACAAATTTGACTGAAAGAGTTGACTTTTTTTAATAATAAGTTGACCCACTTTTCAAAAATTGAAGCATTTCTGAAAAGTACCAATTTAAAAATATTTTCAAAAATATTTCTGAATATGCAGTATTAGCATAGCTCTTTCATGAAATATGGTCACTGCATGCATTCTGTGATTAATTCTAAAAATCATTGTCCATGAGCAGGTCAATAAGTTCCACCAAATAACAAAAATATTTAAATTTGGGCCTCCCCAAGTTCAGGTCAAAGAGACCCAGAACCAGCTTGACTGAATGAGTTTTTCTTTATACAGCAATATATTTGGGTCCCCCTTCCAAACATGAAAGCATTTAAAAAAATTACCATTAAAAATAAATTTTCTACAATTACTGCTGAACGCATTAGCATATAGTTTTGAATCTTTGATGAAATATGCTGGTCACTGTGTTCATTCTGGGATTTTTGAGTACAAAAGCCCAA